CAGCTCCCTGGTTGCGGGGCTTCTGTGCAGCCAGATCTCAGGAGGCTCTTAGTGACAGTGGTTCTGTGTTTTAGTTGTAATTTTGATGTGGCTGCGGGAGGCGGCGGGGGCAGCTGTGACCTGCGCCANCTGCGGGAGGCGGCGGGGGCAGCTGTGACCTGCGCCACCATCTTGTTTTCCCCTATATTTAATTTTCCAAAGGTTGACACTTCTCAGTTATCTAAGAAACAGTTCTCCGTTCCTCCGAAAACATAAACTGTCATTCAAAGTAGTTTTGTTTGTCTGCTTCCATAGAAAAGTATCAGAGACAAACTCAATATTGTTTTCTCACGTAGCAGACTTTATCTCCGGCAAACAGGTATATTGAATGCTCCTTTGAAAAAAACCAAAAAAACAAAAACACATTTAAGTAATTTCCCCCAATCTTATCTTGATAATTTTGTACCTATATATGTATATGTACATGCTTTTCGTGATAAAGTTTCCAAATCCTATGAGAAAGAGTTCCATTCCTTTTTCAGTTGTTAAGTGTTTGCCGGTGGCAGAGCCCCAGAACGGGAGACTCATCGACAGTGCATTGGAACCAAACCAGGAATATACCTTCGGGCAAGTGGTCAAGATTGTGTGTAATCCAGGCTTCAAGCTGGATGGGCCCCCAGAAATACATTGCTCGGCAAACGGCCGTTGGAGTCAAGAAAGGCCAAATTGTGTGGGTAAGATACCGTTCATTGGATTATTTGAATGATTTTCGTTTTTCTCATGAAAATAGGCGTGCAAAACACTGTGCCGCCTAAAGACTCCAAAGGATGCTGATAGTAACGTTTATGAGCACTTACTATTTCCCAGTAATTCGTCTAAGTTCTTTATCTGTGTCCGCTCATCACACATTCAGAAAGGCTTCCGTGATTGTTGTGCTCTCACCTCTGTTTTATAATTGAGGAAACAGCCGTGGCAGGAGGTTAAATCACACGTCCATGGTTATCGTGGCATAAAGAGTAGAGTTAATATCCAGACCTAGGTTATTGGACACCAGAGCCCATGCTCCTAACCCTAATTAAATTGTAGTTGGCTCTCACAGCTTAAAATAGAGCAGTAAGGTTTTCTGCTACAGGGTTTAATATTGGCCTACAGAATAGACTTATTTATTTATTTATTTATTTGAAAAGCCAAAGATTTCTTATTTATTTCCCAGGATGCATCATGATGGTGTTGTTTTTGAATAACACTTTTAGGAAGTGGTTGTTTTATATTTGCTCTGTGTTTATTATACATATTACTGAACTGAATTGAATCCATTAAATAAATCTTTGCCTTTAAAAAAGAGTTCCAGCCCAGCCGGGCGTGGCTCAGTGGTTGAGCATCAACCTAGAATCCAGGAGATCGAGGTTCGATTCCCGGTCAGGGGATATGCCAGGGTTGTGGGCCCAATCCCCCCAGTAGGGTGCGTGCAGGAGGCAGCCGATCAAGGACTCTCTCATCATTGATGTTTCTCTCTCTCCCTTCCTCTCCCTTCCTCTCTCTCTGAAATCAGCAAAGATATACATAAATATAAAAAGAGTTCTATAGTAAAATATAAATCAAGAATTCTTTAAAGTACACCATAGTGAATATAGCCGATAATATTATCGTAACTATATATGGTGCCAGGTGGGGACTAGATTTATTGAGTGATGGTTTCGTAAATTAGATAAATGTCTAATCACTGTGTGATATGCCTGAAACTAATATAATATTGTATGTCAGCTGCAACTGAAAAAAATTCTAAATAAATTTTTTAAAGAATTCTTTGGTTGTAAACTGCTGACCGATGCATAATGACCAATATGATGATTCTGGCTTTCATAATGAAACACTTTGGACAATTTATCGAAAGCCCCATACTCGTGTTTCACCCACACTTCTTTGGCAGAAATTTCTACTGTATCCATTTTTTAACGTTATCTAAAATCTCCAAATTATTTACACTTCCTTAGTCTAGCCTTTTCCACAGTGAGATGCAGAGAAAAGCATTCCTCTCCTTAAAACCTTTTTTCTAACAAAACTAATTTTTCAAGCCAGTAATGATAAGGGTTTCTGTTCAGCATAGCAAATACTGTCTGCTCTAGAAGTTACAGGCGGGGCTTATTTCCAGCTGAATGTCTGTGGTTGGCGACACCTCCCTGGAATGACGAACGCCTGGGGTTAAGTCTTAGAGGGACAGTGAGGATCCCCTGGATGGAGTCAAGGAGGGGAAACTGTGCAGAAAGTGGACTCGGGCACTGAGGCTCCCTGAGCACCAAGCTTCCCTCTCCCCGCTGTCCTCAGGGGCCTCGGGGATGGACTGAAGATGGGCCAGTCCAAGGGTCTTTTGAAGAAACTGACTTTTATTCAGACGGAATTGGGAATCGACGAAGAATTTTAAGTGGAGCAATGGAGTGACGAGAAAGATGGTCATTAGATTACAAACAGGAGAAGAGCTGGGACAGGTGGGAGGACAGGATCTGGGAAGTTAGTTCTCGTGGCCGTAATCCCAGAGGAAATATTTGAAAGGAGATGGTGTGAAAGATGATGGCCAGTGTTGTCTTGACAGAAAACTTGGATGGATGGTGAAACCGCACAAGCAAGAGGTCATTTACTTTTCGGAGCTGTCGCGACAGCGAGATCGATTCATTTTTTGACAAAGTCCGTAATGAATGACTCTTTCAGTAGCAACTTTACTAGACAAGATGTAGGTTTGCAGGGTGCTCAGTGAAAATGCTTATCACAGTAAGCTTATGGCTGTGTTCCATTTTATATAAACAGTCAGTGAAGGTTATCGCCACTGTTTATTTCAACAGGACTAGCCGATCATCCTCAAACCAAGTAGAATTAGCACCATCATCGTAGTCAGGATTTTAACTTCTTCCAAAAATGAATGTTAAGAGCAGCAGATAAATTCAAGCACTCAGGTCAAAACAGCACTGCTGCTGGGTGACCTGCTTTACTCAATGGAAACAGAATTCATGTCTTCATGTAACCATGTCTTGGATACATCAATTTAATATATCACAAACATTTTGGAATTTAATCCCTTGTTTCTAGGCATTTCCTGCAAAGTACCAGAAATTCCAAATGGAGAGCCTACATCTCCTAAGAATTCTTATAAAGAAAATGAGAGATTTCAGTACAGATGCTTCCCGGGTTACAGTTACAGTGAAAGAGCAGAGGCTGTCTGCACCCAGTTTGGATGGACTCCGGCCCCTTCGTGCAAAGGTAACGGTATATTTCTCCTCTGTATCTTTTGCTGTACGTTCTCGCCACCGTTGATGAACTTCACTCTCTGTGCCTCAGCTAATTATATCACAAATGCTCCCTAAAGTCCTGCCACAATGGAAAGACCTACCTGCTGATAGTGAAGGACTCCCAAAGTATATCTATTTTCCCCAAATCTATAAGCAATTTGAAACTAAATTATAAAAGGCATTTTAAAATAAAGTCATCTAGGATAAAACACAAACTTTCTTCCATCTGGCCTATGTTTTGTAGTGTCGGGGATTTTATTTGAGGGTAATTTAAGGAAACTTTGGTCTCTGTATCCAATAAGGGACAGTCTCTGACAAGAAATCATTTACAGGAATGAAAACACCAACCAAGAACTGCCAAGTAAACACCAAATTGGATCCCAGTTCACCCATTCCCTGTGCAAACTGGGTTTTGTACTGACTCACAAAATAAAGTGCTAATATTGAAGTACTATTCTTATTTCAAATCTTAATGATTGTTTCTAACAGTAGAAAAAAATGCAGCCTCACACATTTGGACAAACTCAGATATTATTACTATATTTTAAAAAAATATGTCTTTATTGATTTCCAAGAGAGGAAGGGAGAGGGAGAGAAAGAGAGAAACATCGATGATGAGAGAGAGTCATTGATCGGCTGCCTCCTGCATGCCGCCCACTGGGGGTCTGGCCCACAACCCGGGCCTGTGCCCTGACCAGGAATCAAACCGTGACCTCCTGGATCCTAAGTGGATGCTGAACTGCTGAGCCACACCCGGCCGGGCGATATTATTATTTTGGAAAGAGACACCTGCCCTGATGTTTTAGTAGCACCGTTTATTTTAATGGACATTATGAGAATCAGGAATTAAAATGTGTCAAGGGATGTATGCCCACTGCTTAAAAGCAATCACCAGAAGTTCTTCTACTGCTAATTAATTTAACAAAATTCTCGCAATATTATTTGGTTGCTCTCTTAGTGAAATTTGCAAGTGGATCCATTGTTGAGATATAGTAAAGTTGACAAAAAAGAACTGAAAGGGGAGCTGTATAAATTAGGATAGACCCGGTCAAGGGTATAGAACGCAGGTCAAATCCAGCCTGTCCCCTCTTTGTAAACCAAGTTATATTATGGGAGCCTAGCCAGTCCCATTCGTCTATGTATTGTTTGTGGCTACTTTCCCATTACAAAGGCAGAGCGGAGTGGTTGGGACAGACTTTTTACAAGGTCCTTTATGTAGAAGGATTTCCAAACCCTGGACTGGGTTATCCTGTTAAAGTAAGAGAAATATGTTCCAAAATTGCATTAGCCTCATAAGCTAAATTTTATTTCCTACCTATGCTGACCTCCAATGTGGAACAGAAGGGACTCTGCTCATTCTGTTCGTTGCAAGAATCAGAAGTCAGCCACAGGGTCTTTCCATGTCTTTCTGTAGCCACTGTGGCTGGGGAAAAAAAGATTAAAAACTCCCACAATGGCTCTTAAAGAGTCCTTCCTAAAAGGAAACATATTACTGCCACGCTCATTCCACTGCCCTATGCAAAGAAGGGACTCGGAATATTTGGAAAGAGTCCTTACCACAACTTGACAAGTCAAGGAAGTTGAGGGGAGAGGAAAGCAGAGTTGAAGGGATGTATTACGATGTCCTTGCCACACGGGGAACGTCACGATGGATGGGGCAGCTTTGGAGAAAGGGTTCAGGAGAGCAGGAGCACAGACCCTCCAGGCGGCCAAGGTGAGGAGGGGAATGAGTGGGCGGGGAGGGGTGCGAGCTCTGCTCGTTTGAATGCCATTTCGCTCTGTGGGGGACCAAGAAAGGCATCTTTATTGTCATGTACTTGACTGTTTTCGTGGGTAGAGATTCCCTCGTAACCCACATGCCCTTTCTCTTTCCAGAAGTAACATGTGAGCCTCCAAGGATTGCAAACAGTCACTTCACTCCTGACAGGACCAAATACAGAGTGGGACACATAATCAGATACAACTGTAAAAGTGGGTATTACCCTTCCACCCGAGGAAACACGGCGAAATGCACTGATATCGGCTGGGAGCCTCCTCCAAGATGTAGCTGTGAGTTCCATTCACACCTTGACCTGCTTCTTAATTCTGAAATTACCTCTGATAAATTTAAAACTAAAGGGGACCGAGTACTTCCAAATCTTTGCCTCACTGACAATGTAAAGCAGAGAATCTAAACCATTCGCTACTCTTCAAAGTAGCCGATTCTAATTAAGATTAAAACCACATTTTTGTTAATAAAAAACTTTTAATCTTTCACTATTCAATGTTAACTATATGTGGATGAATATATATTTATCTCACTAATATAATTCTAATATGTGAATTAAAACACTGGGTAAGAGTACCACCATTTAACACCTAGTATACTAGTCACTGATCGCTGTGTAACAAATTCCCCCAAACACACTATCTTAAAACAACAGCCTCTCTGGTCCCATTGTTGGCAGGGGCAGGATTTGGAAGCGGCTTAGCTGCCTCACCTGAAGCCACTCCCTGCTCCGCTGCCCTGGGAGGCTGGCCAGG